ATAGCTCCGCATAACGTGGAGGGTGTGTGTGTGCATGTATGTAGAGGAACACTGCCCTCCACCCCACTCCCCCGTTCCTAGTTTAGATGCTAACTGGCTTTTACTGGCTTGCATATTAATGTCTCTTAGAAAATTCTTGTGGGAAATGTACTATTTTACCAATAACTCAATAGGTGATCAGGTTTTGTTTTTATTTACAGATAGATAGACTTTTATTATCACTTTTCAATTACCTTTCCTGGGTATTAGTGCTACAGGTTTGTAAATCTCACACCACCACCTGGAGCTTTTGGAAACTATCCAGGTGTTTCATTCTTAGATTTCTGTTTTAGAGGACTGCACATCCATGCAGATACCTGTGATCCTGGAGAACTCTATTTAGAAAATGTCACTCAAATATTTTCAAAACACTGGGACTTTTACAGATGCAAGGAAGGTAGCAGGAGGATGAAGTGTGCATATTACTTTTAAGTTCAACTGAGTTCTAATTTTAAAATTAAATCAGATAATTTAGCAGGTTGGGGTTTTTTTTTCTTAAAATGCTGTGGTTTAGTTTGCTTCTTTTAAAAAAAGTTGCGCATTCGAAAAAGCAGAAGGTGTTGGGGTATTTATCCCTGTGTCTTCTTGTGGATCCAGATGTACAGGGATACATTTGAAGGCAGTGACTTTAAATAGAAACTTAATGAGTTGGTACTGTCGAGCTTTTAATTGTTCTGTTGGATTTCAGACTACCCATCTCTGCTTATTTAGTAATGTGAATTATTTCAGTAGATCTTCTTTTAGGCAGCACATAAAATTTTTAAAAATTGTTAGGACTGTACTATGCTCTACCTTACTGTGAGAAGAGGGTGAAAATATCACCTCAATTTAGTGAATTTGAAGCATACAGAATTCAAGGTGCAGGTTGTAACATACCAGAATTATGTAAAGCTAAAGACACTTTTATTTTCAGAAATAAAATTTTTGAGATGGGTGTAAATGTTTTTCAAGTTACACAACCACAGTGTGCATTTGTTTACATTTACCTTTGAAATTTGATATACTTACATCAGTGTTAAGTAACTTCAGTTGCATCTGCTTTGTTACAAAGTTCCTTCTATGTTCTTCTGTCGTAAGAAGAATCTGGAAAATAATGGAAACAATTGGGATGTAGTAATCATTTCTTTCCACAGCATTTGTTTTTCCAGTACACCATTCAAGTGTAGTCAGTTATATACAGCAAATAGTTATAAAAATAGGGCATTTCAGTGTACGTAAATTAAACTTCATGGACTGTGTCGCCAAGCATCTGATCCTGAATGCAGCTGAAAAAGGCTGCTTTTTGGAAGTGAGTTTTAACTTGTTTTTAAGTGCTTCACTTCTTGTGATTTATGACATTATGTTGGTGTTGTGCTGAATTAATGGGAACTGAATGATTGAATTGCCAGGATTGCACAGGGTTTCTAGAAACCTGTTAGTACAGAAAGCAGTTACTGCTCTGTTTATAGTTAACACAACAGTTTGCTCTGCATTAGTCTTTGAATTGAAACCACTATGTGTATTCTTCAGATGTGGTTAAAATGACAATAGTACTTTAATGTGGTGGACAAAGAATTAAAAAACAGTTTATGGCATTTTTGTTTTTGTTCATGTGTAGCTCGAAGTCCTGCCCTAAAGTAGCATTTCTATAAAGCTTCAGGAACATAATGTTGCCAGTGAAGTCAGCTAGTACAGAAGTAATGGCATATGCAATGCTGCAGTGTGCAGAACACTTAGCTTGTAGCAGATACAAAGGCACCATTTGAAAGGCTCTCGTGACTCTGTAATGAAAGTGAGGGAGCCTAACTTACTGGAGCAAACACTGAGGAAAGTGTAAGTAAAAGAATAATTTCCTAGCTAAAGCAGCCTACTGGACTTCTACAGTGTGAGGGGTGTCTTAGCATATTGGTGGAAACCTAGCAGGTGCCCAGGAACAGTATGGAGAACAATTCTGAGCAATTGAAAGCTAGTTAGTACATTAGTGAATAGTGCTGGTTAGGTAACACCAGCCTTCTTATCTTTCTTGTATGGTAAGTACTGCTCTGCTCCATCAGTTAACCTAGCGCATTTTTAAAAAAGCAAGCAGCCAGTGGCCTGTGTAATATCTAATAACCCAGACTGGGAAGGGAGGAGGAACTGGGTTTAATGCCTATGGCTTCCTACTCAGCAGTAGTTTGTAATGGATAGTTTGATTCATGTTTAAAGCTTTATAGAGAACTTAAACCTGAGCCTAGGTACTATTGATTCTCAGTAGGAGTTTATTTTGGGAAGCTGCACTGTTTCTCTGCTACTTTAGCTAAGGCAAATACTCATTATTAAAGCTATCCTGTAAATAATGCACTGACTTTGTGGATTGGATTTTCTAGCTATAATTGGAAGCCAGTGCATTTTCAGTTTACTCAGGACCTGCAGCTGCTCACTGAAAATGGCTCTCAGGGCTTCAGAGCACTTTTTCTAGTCTGAATGAGCTGGATTGCAGGCCCTTGAAAGAGCTGCATGTCCCAAAATGCGTTAATCCACTAGTACCACAAGCCCTGTTGTCAGCAAAAGGTTGAATGTATTGGCATGCCCAGGTTTTGGTAGTGGTGGGGCTACAGGGATGGCCTCCGTGAGAAGCTTCTAGAAGCTTTCTCTGTGTCCAACAGAGCCAATGCTAGCAGCTCCAGAGAGAACACACTGCTGGCCAAAGCAATGCTTGTAATGCCTCTGTGATAGCATATTTAAGAGGGAAAAAGAAGTTACTATAGTACGTTAAGTGTTGCAGCGGATACCTGAGCCTTTTAGGCACTATGTAGTAGAGCCAGTCATACGGGAACTAATCATGTATTTATTGGTTATATGGTTATCTTTTATTAATGCTTATTGTGCAAATGTAATTGTGCTCATATTGAGGAGTGAGAATATGGGAGAGGAACGGCTCTGTAGACACCAAGGCCAGTGGAGGAGCAAGAGAAGGTGCTCCAGCTGTTGGAGCAGAGGTTCCCCTGCAGCCTGTGGTGCAGACCATGGTGAGGCATCTGTGTCCCTGCTGTCCATGGAGGTCAGTGGGGATGCAGAGATCTGCAGCTGATGGAGGACCTCACTCTGGAGCAGGTGGATGCCCAAAAGAAGGCTGTGGCCCTGTGGGAGGCTTGAGCTGGAGCAGGCTCTTGACAGGACCTGTGGCCTGTGGAGAGAGGAGCCCAACCTGGAGCAGGTTTGCTGGTAGGACTTGTGACCCTGTAGGGGGACCCACATCAGAACAGCCTGTTCTTGAAGGACTTAACCCCATGGAAGGGACCCATGCTAGAGCAGTTCACAGAGAGCTGTAGCTCATGGGAAGGACTCATGCTGGAGAAGTTTGTGGAGAATTATCTCCTCTGGGAGGAATCCCACACTGGAGTAGGGCAAGATCTCCTCTCCCTGAGCAGCAACAGAAACAACATGTAATGAACTGACTGTAACCCTGACTTCCCATCTGCCTGCACTGCTGGCAGGAAGGAGGTAGAGCTGGGGAAGAGTGGAAGGGGAGGTGTTCTTAAGATTTGTTTTACTCTTCATTATCCTGCTCTGATTTTGATTCATGATAAATTCAATTAATTTCCCCAAGTTGATTCTATTTTGTCCATGATGAGTAGTCTCTTCCTATCTTTATCTCAGTTTGAGCCTTTTGTTTTGTTTTTTCTCCCCTGTCCACTTGTAGAGGGGAGTGATAGAGCAGCTTTGGTGGGCACCTGAGTGGGCAGTCAGGGTCGACCTACCACATTGAGCCAGAACCTTATCAAACAGTATTATTCAATGATCCTGAAATTTTTCAATAGCTACTTAAATTTGAGTAGATTTTTTTCTTTCGAATGTGGTAACCCTACTGACTCGTTTTTTTCCTTTAGCAAAACCATATAAGATCAGATGATGCATTTAATATTTCTAGTGCAAAAGCAATTAGGGGACCACATTTCCCCTTTTAGAAAGCTTGAGAAGTTCAAGTCAAGCAACTTGTGTGAAAACAGATACAGAATGGTAGAAAGATTTGGCTTGAAAGGGACATTAAAGATCTCTCTCAGCCTTCATAGGAGAGGTGTTCCAGCCATCTGATCTTTGTGGCCTTTCTTCTGGACTTCCTGTGCTGAGGACCCCAGAGCTGGATGCAGTGCTTGAGGTGGGGTCTCAAGAAGGCAGAGTAGAGGGCCAGAATCTCCTCCCATGTACTTGGCCATGCTGCTTTGGATGCAGCCTGGGGTGTGGTGGTCTTTCTGAGCTGAGCCATGTCCAGCTGATCATCCACGAACACCTTCAAATCCTTCTCCACAGGGTCACTCTCTATCCCTTCATCCCCCTGCTGATACTGATACTGGGCTTGCCCCAACTCTTGTTGAACTTCATAAGGTTTTGCACAGGCCCACCTCTCAAACCTGTTAAGGTCCCTCTGGGTGACATCTCCACCCTCTGGTGTGCTGCTTACACCCCACAGCTTGATGTCATCAGCAGACTCGCTGAATGCAGCTGTCTCACAAATGATGCTTGTCTTCTGTTCTAATTAGAAGAAGGTGAGGGTAGGCGTGCTGTCCTATACTTACTGTGAAAGTTGATGTCATATCCAAACCTGGGTATCTTGTATACAACCACCAAATTCATCTCCCCTAGCAGTTCCAGCTGATGCTGGAAAAGAACACTAAAGGTTCAGTATTGTGATTCAAGGATGCTGTGGCTGTACTTCTAGCAAACCCTTTTCTGTGGAGCACTTGAAATGTGTTTCTGTGGTGCAGATTTCTTCTGAACAAGTTCTGCCATCACAAACTGCCCAGTTTTTGTCTATCTGTTTTGTCTTTGGCATTCTGTTATCTAAGATTCAGAAGCTGAATCATGCTTTAATCCCATGTATTTGTATGTGGATTATTTTTATGTTATGAAATAGGAAAGCTTAATATGTGATTGGAGCTTATAAGGAATCCAAAAGTTCAGTATGTGCCTGACCTGTGAGGAAAATGCCATTTGTTTCTAGCATGACAGATGAAGATTTAACTTAACTAGTAGTTAACACTAGAACATAGGAAAATTACTTGTATGCAGCTATAGATTTCTAGTCTCTGGCTTTGGTGCTTAAGGAAGTTTTGAGTTAGTGTTCCTTTTTTGTCAGAAAAGCTGGGAGAAGTGTATGGCTTCAAGCATGTGCTATCTTCAAATTTGTTTCCAGTTCAAAACTTATTTAGAAATTTTTTTCTATATGCCTTTCAAAATAAAAGCTTGTTTCTTTTAAAACTGAGTACAGAACTGAGAGCAGTAACTTTTTCTATACTTGGGACATGTGGTTAAATCTTGAGAGACAGTTCTTAAAATACAGGAGTTTTAAGAGTGCTGTAGTTGGTTTAGAAACTGAGATTGTTATACCTAAAGTGCTCAGTGTATTTTCCTCTTTAGGTTAAAATTCAAAATTCTGTGTTTAGCTGTTGCTCTCTAGATCCGTTTGGATTTTTGGTGGGTTTTTTTTCTGTAGAAATTAGGTTGATTGGAAAGCAGTGATCTGTTCTTGTTTTTCTGCTAGGATGCATGTGTGGGCAAGTTCATTGTGGAAGTGAGAGTAAGTCTGTCTAGATCTATGAGCTTTTTCATTTGATTTTTTTCTGGGTTTTTTTTGGTTCTTCTAGTCAGACATCTAGTTTAACTCCTGAATGAACAACAGTTGTAAAACAACTGGTTTTTACACTGAGGCATTAACTCCATCCTGGTGCAGTGGCAGTTTAAGGCTTCGTGAAGGTTAGTGAAGTAGACTTAGAATAAGCCAGGTAATGAGAATATTTATTTATTGATTGATTGCCAAAGTGCATGAGTCAAGTTCCTATTACTCTTACTGGAGTGAGTCCAGGGGAGGGCCACAAAGATGCTCAGAGGGCTGGAGGTCCTCTCCTCTGAGGACAGGCTGAGAGAGTTGGGAGAATTCATCTTGGAGAAGAGAAGGCTCTGGGGAGACCTTATAGCACCTTCTAGTACTTGAAGGGGCCCCACAAGAAGGCTGGAGAGGGACTTTTTATCAGTGAGTAGAGTGATAGAATGAAGGGAATGGTTTAAAACTGAAAAGAGGTCAAGCTTATATTAGATACTAAGAAGAAATTCTTCCTGTGAGGATGGTGAGGCACTGGAACAGGTTTCCCAGAGAAGTTGTGGATGCCCCATTCCTAGAAGTGTCCAAGTCCAGGTTGGATGCGGCTTTGATCAGCCTGGTCTAGTGGAAGGTGTCCTTACCCATGGCAGGGAGGTTGGAATTAGTTGATCTTGAATGTCCATTCCAACTCAAATCATCCTACAATTCTATGCTCTTAGGGTACTAGGATTAGATGTAGAAAGTGTTCAGTTGACAGTGTCAGTCCGGACAATATTCATATTACTGTATTGGGAGAACATACTCCTTTATTCTAGTACTTACATTAGCCATGTCAGTAAGAATCAGCTGTGGCTTTTCTTTTCCCCATTCTCTAAATGAAGGGAATACCCATATGTATGTGGGTGTTCAGGTGTTGCTTGGCTTTGTGTGTTTGTGGCTAGAAGCCATGTCCTCTTTGCACAGTGTTGTTCCAGGAGGGCCAGCATTACTTAAGGACAGCAGACTCAGTTTAATGCAAGTGAGGTGAGACTTGTCAGAGGTGAGAAGCGAAGACTCCAGGTGGAAGGCAGTCAAGCAAATGTTCCTTGCCTAAGTGACTGCTAAAGGAACCCTGTGAAAATCTGTCTTTTCATTAATAAAGTATCAGGCCAGAATATACAAGAGCTATTTTTAAACACTCGTTCTAGGCCTTTTCTCCTACAGTCTTCTAAGGAAAGGGAGCTTCATGACAGAACATCTTCTGCTTCTGAGTGGGTTTTCCAATGCAAGCTCTTGTGGAATCCTGCTTTGCATTGCATTTCTTTCATTATGTTTAAGACTGCTACTGAAGTTACGCTTCCAGCCATAAGGTCTGTAGGCACTCTTGATTCTTTGGAGCATTCCTGTTTGATATACTTGGCTGTGGTTGGGCTCAGACAGGCTGTCCCCTTGTGAGTTCTTAGATGAATGAACTAGTGAGTTATTTATCCCTGAAGTAAAGGGATGAGGCTAGAGATTAACAGACTGTTACAGTACCTAGAACAATTTGTTAACTCTGTAGATGTAGCTTAGCCATTTAAATTATAGGCCCTAACTTTTCACTTACCTTGTTGCTTAGTGATACTTGCCTCCTTGTTCTAGAGCTAAATTCAAAGAGGAGACCTCTGTGCATTAGGTACCTGTTCTGCAGTGCTGCTCTTGGTGAGAGTAGAAGTATCCATGGAAATTGTTCATCTGGTTGTCAGGATACTGGTAGCTTACTTGCTGAGCAACTCTTCTGCTTTCTGAAGCTCTTGATGAAATAATTTAGCACAGTCATGGCAAATGTAAGTTACAGAACAGACTCTGCTATACCGCAATGGCACTATCCATACCTCTCCTTGCTAGCAAGGCAAATGAATTGTTAGCTATAGTCTCACCACTGATGTTGGTGGCTCAAAAACCTGCAACTGATCACACAAATTTATTACACTGTCTTTGTTCTGAGATGAAAGCTCTCTTCTACCACATTGAAAGATAACATACTGGCAAATTAGCCAAATAAATGAGGTACATAAAACTGCAAGACAGAGTTTGTGGTTTCTGTTTTGTGTGGAACTAATGGCAGCATGAAAAACGTGTGCTGCGGCAGCAGTCTGCCTGTCAGGTGCTTGTGCTTCATTTGCATCAGATACTTCTAGAGGATACATGAATGGGAAGCTTGATTGTAGAAACACAGTTGTTTGGAGGTTTTCTGAGATTATTTGCTTATATATTTCTTGTTCTTTCTGAGGGTAAAGCAAGATCAATTTGTGCTTCAAATGTGGATTTGAAAATCCCTCTTCTAGAATGTTAGACCTGTGGTGCTCAGCAGCAGATAGTTGTCTGTGGGAGGTGAATGCCTTCTTTTGTCCTTTCCACTTTCCCTTACTCTAAATGGATCATGAGAGCCTGACAGCAGACCCAGCAATGGGCTGTGCTGTAACTAGCCATAGCCTTGCATACTTTTTCCCTCCCCAATGGGCTGCAGTGGTACCATTTAAGTTCCCAGTGCAACACCATGGACTCTAGAGGAGCAAGAGACATATGGAATGCACAAGCATTGTAGCTCAGGAGTAGAAACAAAGCATTTACATGTGTGAGGCAGTTAATGGGACATGACAACCTGTACCCTAGTAAGCCAGTACCAACAGCCTGTGTAAAGAGGACCTGAAATATTTGGATGTTTTCTGATAATCCATGTGCTTATGTCTGTGTGTGATCACGCATAGCTGGCAAGCAGCTACTCGCACTGTCTGCCTGTAGTTCTGTTGTTGGCATCCAGGCAGTCTGAGTCTGTGTTGGAGGTGGTTTCCTGATCCCAGCTGTTAGATCACCTGAAGATTTTGTTCCTTCAAGTTGATTGCTGATTGTAAATACACTGAGTGGGCCAGCAGTACAGTTCCAGAGCAGCCAATTCCATTCTTTTCTGTAGTTTCTTCAGTGCTGAGTCTGTCTCTGTGCTAAGGTCATGGCTGAATTTCTTGACATCAGCAGGCATCAGATGGATAAAGGTTGCGTTTGTTGAGTATTGGATTGCAGTTCAGTTGTCATATCCTGCCAGTCCTTTCCCCTTCACTGTGGAGTTCTGTAGTGTGTGAGCCTGTGAAAATGGCATTAGACGAGGCTGTCTGGCACCACTCTCTATTGGAGTGGTATAAAACCCTGAGTAAAAGCACTTGAATAAATTGCTGGAAGTGCCTGTTCAGAACTTCTGGCACAGATGAATTTCTCTAAACAAACTCCAGGAGAAGTTCTGTTTCTGTGCTGATAAATTGGTTTTAACTGGTCAGGGAAAAGGAAGCAGTGACACTATAATTGTAGATTGATTCAGACTAGAAGGAGCCTCAGGAGCCTACTGCTCAAAGCATGATTGCTTTCATTATTAATGTATTCATAAATTCCTTTTGCTCAACATCCTTTTCACCCTCTTTCTTTCACTTGCTTAATCTCCATGCAAACAAATATTTGGCGGTTGAGCACAATGAATAAGTTGAAGAACGTATGCAAACAGATGATGACTGGATTACTGGCATAGAAACCTGTTGCAAAACTAATCTTCAGTCAGCAGTCTCACCTGTCTGCTCGCAAGAGTTTTTCGATGTAAACTGCAAAATGTTTCCATGGTCTGACAGGTGTGTTGAGATTAAGTATTTAAATTCTTCAGCTTCCAAGAAGGATGAGTCTAGAATGCACCTGTACTGTTTGTTTAGTTATTGATCTGAACTTGTTTGGTGTATAATCCAGGGGACAGTATCAATGGTAGATTGTCCTTAACCTTTTTGTGATGCAGAGGAAATGTCGCCTTTGTCAGCACTTGGAAGTCTTCCATTTTAGCTCAAATGCAATTTGATGGGTAATGCTCTAGGTATTTTAGACTCCTGTTTTCTTAATTATGATTTCTGTTGCATTTTCTGTTGTCTGCTGTCTCTACAGCACAACGTTTCTAATTCTGAAAGTTTGCTAACTGTTTGTCTGGGTGCTTTTAATACATGACAGAAATATAGTTGGTATAACTATGTAGATTTACATAGTTAAAATCACTTAGCAGATCAGGAAGAGCAAAGAGTCTGAAGTGGCATAGAAGTCAGTGTAGTATGCTTGTTTGCATATTTGTGTAGAGCGTGATTCTTGGCTGCTGTGGCTATGTGATTCATTGAATGAACTAGTCAATATAAGCTGACTGCTGTGTGTATAGAGATGTAATTAATAGAATGCTTATAAAAACACGTCTCTGCTGAGACAAAATACCTGCTTTTTTATAGCTTCTATTTGCCTTACTCAAGAGCACTTAATGTGGTGATTAATTTCTGCAAAAACGATTTATGTCTTACAGCTTGCCTTGAAGGGATCTAACTATGCTGGTCTGCTGGAGCGGCATCGCATTCATACAAAAAACGTGGAGCATCTCGTAGACAGTTTGCGGTACGAATGTATGGATGCTGAGAATTCCAGACAGTGCAAACGTCCACAGATTGTGTGAAACAACAGAAGGAAGCTTTGTGTTAGAAGCTCTGATAAAATAGGAATACTGAAGAGAGTTCATGCAGATGAACAATCATTCCTTGAAACAATTGTAATGTGGACCATCTCAGTTCAGTTAACTAACACAATCCGTTATCATCTTGAAAACAAATTAGAAAGATGTAAAGAATGTGTGACTGTCAAATGTTTATAAGCCAAATATGACTGTAATTACTCCTTAGTTACATGTCAGTTTTTCAAAAAGATGTGACCAGGAACAATATAGAACAGAATTCAGGCTTTTTCTGAACTTTACAGGAACGAGAGGATAGAAGTACGTCTCGTTAAACGTCGAGAATATAATGAAGAGACAGTTCGGTGGGCAGATGCTGTTATATCAGCAGGAGGTATGACTTTCTGGAGGGGAAATACTTGTTTCAGTGTTTTCATACATAGGTTTTTCAAACATATTTTGCCGTGTATAAAGCAACTGGAGGTATGGACATTCTGAAAACAAATAGCTAATCTAATTGTCAGAAAAATATACAAAATGCAGTGATTGTGACCATCTGACCTACCTATCTAAATTATATCTAAAATTGTAGCACTAGGATATGAATCCCAGTGCATGGCCGCTTTGCAAAAGTATAATTGCCATGTGTAAACCAATATAAACTGTTTAATTTACTCTAGTTTTCAGTGAAAGACTAAAAAATGCGAGCTGTCATGTGGTTATATTTTAGCCCTAAACCCTACTCTTTGGTTTTTGGGATGTGATGTGTAGACTAACATAGTATGTCTTGGTCCCCTTGCTCCAACTGTCTTGCTTTCACGCTTAATTCCAGTGACTGGCTTATCAAGTTGGGTACAGTTGGTAAAAGTCTGCAACTTCTGAGCGCCCTGTGCCACTGATTTGTGTTTTTTAGATGAACCAACAGAGCAACTAACCTGATAGCTTATTTTTAATATTGGATTACAGCAGTTCATTCAATGTTATTTTTGGGATTTGCTGTGAATGCAGCAACGTGTTGCTGGGCTCTGACGTGATGTTCAATAATCTATGGCAGTTAGACTTGGCCATGGCTTTCTCTCTTCCCACTAGTCCACTTTGTCCTTAGCTACTGATCACCATGCAGGATGGGTAGAAAGGGATATGGATATGTTCCTGAAGCATCCCAAGACACTCCTATAGATCTCAAAGAAGTCCTCTAGACTGGAGACTAAAGTGCTAGTTTGTCTGTGGCAAAATTTGTTATATTTGACGCAAGAAGCTGGGAAGTAAGACATCATCTGAGCTTTTCAGAGCTTGTATCTTTATGCAAAAACTGATTGAGGTTAGAGTTGTCTTTGTGTTTGACAGACAAGAAAATATATCAATATCTGAAGAAACAAGTGGCTTTTAAAGATATCTACTTACCTAATACTTCTTTTCCAAGTGTGCGTATTTGGGGCCAAAAAAGATATTTAAATTGTGCTTTCTAAGAGGACAACTGCGGTGGAACTAAAGTCATTGTTACATGATTCACAGTAAAATGTGGTTTTGTTTCATGTCTCCTGTGGCTTTGTTTAGCAATACTTTCTAAATTAATTTTCATTAAAGGCTTTCTCTTACTGATAAACATACAGAAATTTCCATAAATATCTTTTAAATCTTGCTTCGTTTGCCTGGGCATGTATAACTGTAAGATAAGTTGTACTTTCTCCAGTCACATTTGCCATCTTGAATTCAGTTGCCGCTACTCTGCTTGGATAGGTGTCAGTAGTTTTGTGGTCCCATTTTATTTTTGTTCGGCTTATGTGATTGATTGTTGATATGAAAGCACATAATGGTAATGTTGGAGTAGAATCTGAAGTGAAACTAACTTTTGGTTTGCTCTTTCTGTAGGTGATGGCACAATGCTGTTGGCAGCCAGTAAGGTCTTCGATAAATTTAAACCAGTTATTGGAGTAAATACAGATCCTGAACGGTAAAAACACAATGCTTTATTTAATATTGGGCACACTGTGAATCTGTTTTCGTGATGCATGAGTCTGGCCTGTAGCATTTGGCAGCATAAATGTTTTAGTGGTTGTACATATCAAGTAAACCTGTTGGTTTCCACAATAAGTTATCCTGTCTCATCTGAGAGAACATTAAACAATATTGGATAAGCATAATTGTGTTAAACTGCCACAGCTGGTTTCACACACCAGTGCAATAGCAGTTCCAGCTAGTTAATTTGTATTACTGACCAGAAGTTTGTGGCTAGAGATGGTGGTTATAGAACCTAGACAGGAAGAGGGACATCGTAAAAGCAGCGAAGTGTGGTGCCTGAACGCACAGAAACTTCATTTCTTTGAGTAAGCTGCATCCAGTAGACCTTCAGATTGCTTTGGTTTCTTCATGCAAACCGCATCATACTTCAGAAGGCTCAGTCTCCTCAGCCAATTATTAGCACTTAGTTGTCCTATTACAAACCTTACACAAGTTGCATCCACCTGCCCAAATCAGTCTTACAGCTGGGTGGATGCAGCACGTTAGTATTGCCTGATTGGTATGACCTTCAAATGGATGGCAAGTAAAATTCAGATTTCACCAAGGCACTGTCTCCTGAGAAGTCCACATTTAGATTTCTGCTATTGATAGAAACAGTTAATTTATTCTTAATAGATAAAATGGTGGCTGAAATCTGAATTCCTTTCATACCTTATTCCTCTTCTAAAACTTTTCAAATTCTATGAAAAGCTATTCTGCATCATCAAGCAGGGTTCAATTAACAAGTGTCTTCAAGTTATCAAGTATAACCCATGAAAGGGGAGCAGTGTTTAATGTTCTGGTTTTGACATGACATTCTTTTGATCTTAGATCTGTTGCTTATCTGTTTCATATCACTAACTTGTGTATAAATGGAGGAAATTTTCTTTCTATCTTACCAGGTTTATTAAGCTTGAATTCCTTGCCAAGAACCATGGTGATAGGAACTACATTAGTAGTTACACATTCCTGCAGGATTGCTAGCTGAACAGACAGTTTTTAGGGGTAATGTGGAAGAAGTATTCTGTCTCACATGCATGTACTCCAGGAGCTGAAAGTGCTGATGTGCTATTATGAAAGAGCAGGTTCTGAAAGGTCAAAGTGTATCTTTGCTTGATGTAACAGAAAGAGAGATTTGTTTTGTTTTGTTTTTCAAAGGTACCAAATCTTAACAGATATACCATCATTTTAATTGTCGTTTTTTGCTACCAGATCAGAGGGTCACTTGTGTTTGCCTGTGAGATATACACGTTCATTTCCTGATGCACTACAGAAGCTTTATCGTGGTGAGTTCAGGTAGGATTCACTGATCTTTGGTTTTCAAAAACATGCTGGGATTGGAAAATACTTAATGGTGTGCAATTCCCAAAGAGCAGGCAAAGCTTAGTAAAATCTTAATGCCTCAAACTGTGAATTCTGTGTAGATGAAAACTATTTTGTTTTATGAAATCTCTAAATTGTGAGAGGGAAAAGATTCCAATTGTTTTAACATGACTTTTATATCCTTCTCTTGCTTCAACTGAATTCGTTTTGTGTATCCTAAATTCCTAGGCTAGGAAAGATTCTTAAACTGAGAGGGTACTTGTGGCCTTTTTGTATGAAGGAATGGATAGAGCTGCTTTTCTGGGCATCTTCAAATACAAACAAAAGATGTTAAAAATACAGTACACATTGTTGTATAAATTCTTTGAGTGTTTGTTATTCTCAAAATATTTGCATCACTCATTCATTCACAGATTAGAATCACATGCCTAAAAAGAAGCGTTGTTACATGTAATTTTCGTAGACTACTTTTGGCCAGTGTCCTTTTATTTTACACATGCAAAAAACATTAGGTAGCAAATTGGTAACTGTAAAGTGTTTACAATTTAGTATGATTAGCTTTGTAAATTTAGAACTTATAGTGGAAGTTACAAAACTTGAAATGTGACTCTGAAAATATTTAACTTCTAGTCTTAAAATGTTCTGCTTTGAGAGTGAAGGCTCTCTGATCCTGCCTAATTTTGTAATGAACATTTATGCTACTGATACCAACTACTTTCTTCTCTCTTAGGTGGCAGTGGCGGCAAAGAATCCGACTGTATCTTGAAGGAACTGGTATTAACACTGCTCCTGTAGATTTACACGAACAGCAGCTAAGCCAGGAGCAACATAGCAGGGCTCACATAAATGAAAGATTCCAGGATCAAAGTAAGTTCAAATTTGACAAGAATATCAGAATACTCACTTTGCTGTGATAACTTGGAACAGAAGGTTAAGATTCATAAGAGTTCAAGTATTTGAAATGTGGTTGCTGCATTTGTGAGGGAGGGAGAGACAGCTCTTATCAGCTGAAGATGAGTGTTTTTAGAAAGGAGTATTTTTTGTTTCCGTATGTTTATTCTGGACTGTACACTTAAAAACAGTTTTCAGTATTAACAGTTAATTCAGAGATACTTTAAAAGAATATTTTTCTGCTGTCAAAGTGTCTGATCTTTTTTTTAAATGCTGTCTCTTAGAGTTACTATCACCACTTGAGGTTATCACATGAGCATTTTACCATGTGTTTAGCTGCTCCACACTACAAGTGTGTGTGTATCTGTGTACGCATGCATTCTTAACTTGTTAATTCACAACTGAAAAAGCAGGTCTTGGACTACTGTTATGCCCCAGTTCACTCGATGGGTTTAGGGAAGGATGATGCTGAATTACTCCAGGTGGTGTGCAGGAGAACTAGCACAATTCTCAGGAGGTTTAACAAGAAATAATTTTTACTTGTAAACTTTGGGCCATGCATGTGGGTGCAGTAAGCTACTTGGCAAAAGGCAGATCAGGAAACTTCACATCATTCAGACACAGTGGAGACTTGAACTTGGCACACCTTAGAGAGCAAAGCCCTAAGCTGGGCACTGATCACGGCATTTAGTGAGTCATTAAGGGGGTACTGCTCAGTGCTTGTAACTTAACACATTGTTAAGGAGAAGAGGAGAATAAGAGATAAAAAGAGAAACAGATAAGGGAGAGAGGCAGATAGTCACCACCTGGGGATGCAGCGTGGTCTCAGCCACTTCAAATCCAGGGTAGTTGGAGCGGTCTTGCCACATGTCTTGCTGTCCTTTTATCCATTCCCTTTGCCTGGGACCCTCCCCAGTGTGAGGTCACATTTGCACCTGTGCTTTAGGCAGAGCCAGGAGCTTCGGCATCCATCTCAGGGCTGGCAGCAGGGCTACGTGGTCAACCGAGGCCATTCCAGTGCAGACCAGCAGTTACCTTCTAAGGCATAAGGGGGTGGTGGAAGAGCAGCCACCACCTGTTCCTCCACCACTTTCCCACCTGGTTGTTTTGAGCCATGTAACCTTTCCTCTGGTCTCTGACAACTACCAGCAAGTAAATGAGAAATTATAAGTGAGAATCCTTCTGTGGGCAATTCCTAGGTCATCAAACACCTTCAAACTGTTTTCTTTTTGATGGGTTGAAGATGCATGATTCTGTGCTTAACTTGTGTCCAGTACTGCATTTGCTCACTGAGAAGTCCTTGTCAACATGAACAATTTGTTAAACCCCTATTACCTTCTGGTATGAAGTCTAATTCCTTGAACTTTATCAGAAATACCTGGTACGTCATGGTCAGTGAATTTAACTTGGCTGGAAGAGTGACTGACAGAAGACTTCATTCTGTCTCTCTGCCCATGAATTTCTAGGGAAAGCAATGTCTGAACTAAAGTGTCATTGCTGACCTTGGTTTATATATTTGTTGTCTCCAGTAAAGGACAGTGACTGGCTACAGACTAAATCAGTGAAAAATTGAGTCCTTTAAGAAAGTGGTGTATTAGGTCTAGAATATAAACCCAGGCAGTAGAGTGTGTCCTCCAATGAGTTGAGTTGTTTTTGAAAATTTGAGGTTAAAATCCATGATTCAAAGCTGCTGTATTCAATATTTGCAGGATCTGACATTTCTGGTCCACATCTTTTACCAGTGAGAGCACTTAATGAAGTCTTCATTGGGGAATCTCTTTCATCCAGGTATGTTTAATTGTTTGCCATTATAACAAGGCACAATTGATTGAATTTTTAAGGACATTGCAATGCATAATCAGCGATGGGATTTTGCTGTCAAGTTTCAGTTCTAGTCTATAAATATTTAACACTGATTGTATTAGTGCTGATTACAAAGTGTATTTTCAGAGATGTAAGTGCAGTAATGTTAATTTCTGGTTTTCTACCTCATGTCTGGACATTCTTTCATCTTGCATTTTTCTTGGCTGTTTTCTTTCCTCTTCATTGTTTTACTCCTTTCCTGTTTAGTTCTTATGTAACTGGTTGCCTTCAGTTACTGTCTTTACAGTGGATTGAAGATTTAAATATCCATCCTTAAACTGCCTCCTCACCTGCACCTTTTCAGAAGCTTTTAGGATGACCCAAGTACTCCTTTTCCTGCATTTCTGTCAGAGGCAAAGGTATCTGCCTGCCTTTGGCAGAGATGTTGTTACTGGGTGAAAACACTTGTTTCCTTGTTCTAAGAAACGAGTTGCTATCAAATTGTGGTACTGCCTTATCCAGGATACATTTAGACTGTTGTTTCTGTCCTGAAGATCACTGCATTTTTGGCAGCAAAAAAATAAGAAGGATGTGGGGAATATGTCTGGGACTGCAGGAAAAGAGTTAAAATATGATTGTTGTTCAGGATTTGGCCAAACGTTTACTTGTAATTTATATCCCTTTTCCCTTTATTGTTTATCTTTTAAAACAAAACAAACTAACAACAGCAACAAAAGATGCCTGTAGGAACAAATCTCTAGAAATAAATATTGTGATACTAGGATCTGGCACCTGAAGGCTGATGTCACAGAGATGAATCTTCTGTAAGGTTCAAATAGACGTCTGCTGTTTATTAAGACAAAACGACTCTAGGAGCTTCTTCTAAGGTCTTATTCTGCATGTCAAAGAAAACAAGGAAATGGAAGAAAAAACGACCCAGAAAACCTTTCTTACGATGCTAGTAAAAATGATCTTAAACTGAATCAAGCTCTGCACCTGTGTTTTTAATTTACTTCCGGTTCTTTCAGGTCCCCTTTTTCTCAAGAGTGATTACACAAAATTCCCTTAGTTCTACTAATGGCACTAAATAGTCAAAAGTTGTATTCTTAGTGGATCCAGACTGAAACATTCTTTACCTAAAACAGCTCCTTAACCTCCATTTACTAAGAAAGGTGAAACTCAGTCATGCACAACACAATGAATGTGGTATTTTTCTCAGAGGGTGTCTATTAATCTCAGGACTGTATCATACTGTTTCAATTAGGCACTATAAACACCAAGAACTTTACTTCACAAATATACTGTTGTATGTTCTGAAGCTTATAGAGAGAAGCTCTCAGGTCTCTCTAGGCCTAACACTAGGAATTCCCTGGTATCTGAGAAGTAACATGCAGGAGATGATTACACCCCAAGACCTAGTATGTTTGAGTTTTAGGAAAAATTTGCCCTGGAGAGAAATACAAGCCTGCTGTCTGTTTAAAACTGTTCATGAAGAATCACTGGATTTTTAGTTACTGAAGTGATGAAGAATGCAGTTTCAAGCTATGCTATTACTTGCTGATGCTGGAGTCCCTTACTTCATGTTCCCTGACATAATTTAATGAGACCCAATCACAGCGTAGACACAGCTTTTCAGTAGTGCAACAATTATGCAAGGAAGGTAATTATTTATAGTTTTATTTGTAAGTCCAATAAACTCTGCTTGTATATAAAACTATTCCCAGATGAACCGCAAAGGTGGTTTTGTGCATAAATTAATAGGAGAAGTGGCTGCCTTAAAGCTCATGCTGCAAATCACTTTAGTCCATTATAAAAAACTAGTATGAAATAATAAATCAGAAGTAGCTGTCAATCGGAAGCACTGTGAAAAGCCTCTGAAATTGTCATCCAGATGTGAAACTAGGCCCTCTAAATTGTCATGTGCCTGATAAGGCTGTGTGTTCTGTCTTATTCAGGGAGAACTTTAAGTCCTGCAAACCCAGTTTTAAATTCTCGCTTCATAGGGCCTCCTATTATGAAATATCAGTTGATGATGGTCCTTGGGAAAAACAGAAGAGTTCAGGGCTTAATGTGTGTACTGGAACAGGATCAAAAGCATGGTAAGTACAAGTTGCTGCTTTGATATAAAATATTACTTCAGATAAGCTAGATGGACCTATTTTGCTTACGCATTTTGTCCATTCTGAGACTCTGTTGGGCTGTGGGTAAGAGAGTGCATGTCAAATATTTTCAGTGTCAGTATGGTTTAAAGCTGTCTCAGGTGTATGAGAATTGCAGAGCACCTGTTACTTTAGGTATGGAGAGAAGCACTGAGAGGGCGAGGAGCTGTGGCACTGAGGCAGAAGTTTACCTTAGGTGTAATTCTGGTGAAGGAGGTTGTGTGCCCCACATGAAGATGAATGGTTGGGAGTGGCAAGGGAGAGAGGTTCTGCCATGACTTGCATGGTATACTGAAGTGGTCTGTGAATTGTTCTTGTTGGCTAAAATTAAAATGCATAGTTGATGTAGCTCAGTAAACTGATAAAAATCTAAGCTCTAAGAAGAACGGGAAAACATACTTGGAAGTGTTAAATGTTCTCTGGCATATATACTGTCCATTCTTTCATGCCTCTTTAATATTTGTTAATATTTTTTAATACTTCTCTAATCTTTAATCAACAGGGCACAATCTTTTTGTCAAAATATTCCTCTTAAACAAATATGGCCAAATCTATGCAGAACTGTGTTAGCTTAATCAAAGGGGTTAATTGTTTTAACTTCAGTTTAAACAAGCTGCAGTACTGCATGTAAGTCTAATCAATTTAGTTTTGAGATATTAGAAACATGTACAGTGAAAACCTTAATCTGTTTATGCTCATAGTTTAAAGTTGTACAATAGGCCCTGGATTTATGTGACAGGCTGAGATGAACTAAGCCAGAAGCTTTTAATGAAATTCAAAAAATGAATATTCATGTTGTAACCTTGGTTACTGGGTTTTACTCTTCATTGTAATTCGGAATTTTGTATTCAGTCAGCATAACTTAGTCCTGGAGTCTGCCAAGGATGAAATTGGCAGAATGCTAGAGAAACTTTCCTCGTGTTCAGTACCTTGGGAAAGTACAGTCTTAATTCAGTGCTGTTCTTGCACATTTCTTTTGCTTATACACTCTGTACTGAGCAGTCCCAGAAGCAGGGACTAAACTCCAGGATTACTCCTTTCCACTGCATCAGTATGTGTTGCTAGACTTCTCTAAACCAAGGCCAAACCACAGTGGAGTGTCCTTCCTTAGCCTGTAGTTTGGGGCTCAGTTTCTTGCTAGTATCTGCTTGGGCATGCAGGTAGGTAGTAAGCGTAAGACAAGGAGCCTTGGACAACCACACTCAGCAGCTCTGTACCCTGTATAGTGGATGTCTGTTGCAGTCTAAGGCCTTTTGCTGCCATGAGAGAGGTGCTGAACTGAAGATTTTAAGCTGTATTGAGACCTCAGTGGCTAAGATATTCACAGTACTGCTGCAGGGTGGCTATGATTAGCACTTACTCCCTTCTGAGCCTGGACACAGGAGTGAGACTTTTATTGAAGTTCAGACTGAGACTTTATGCTGATTTGTTCATTTGAATGTGTCAAATGCAGGAGTGTCTGATCTGACTGTTCCCTGTCTATATACACCAGTTCTTGTGAGGTTCAAGCCCTCATCTTAGGGTATGAACAAGGATGCATAGTATTTGTAAAGAAGTGTTGGGTTCATAAATGAGAACTAACAGAAAGAATTAATTAGCATGGGGTGGATAGATGGGATAAGAGCACACAATCTGTAGAACTGTAATGCTTTAGTTTTTTTAATGCAGACTTAAATTAGCAGTTGTTGGGGTTTTAAGGCAGGAGGATTCTTGATAAGGACACTACATCCCACGTATTATGCTGCTCTTCTCTGAAGACTTTACTGAATGGATTTTTAAAGTTTACAAAGCCACAGGTAGATGCCAAACCAAGAGTTAATTTAAGACTTTTTTTTTTGGAAGAAACTGCTCACACTTAATAGCATTCTTTATTTCTTTTTTTTCCAAATGTGTGTATGCAAGATTTTTTGTTTGGCTTTTGTTTTGGCTTTGTCCCAAGTTGTACTGCTTAGCAAACAAGACTTCTACTTCTCTGTCTAGGTCCTATAATATTAACAAGGTTGCTTATCAAGCTATTGAAGAGATCCTTAAGATCGGTGAGTGAATAGTGTGGCATTACTAGCCAAGTTTTTATAAAGATACATCTGTCTAATTGGGGCTCTTTCTGTTGGCTCAACAGCAAAAAAGCATGGAAGTTTGAATATGCCATTGAACACGGAACTAGTACAAAAAGGTTAGTGAAAAATGCAAGATTCTTTGAAGTATCTCAGTTCTGGCCAGTTTATTTTGTTTGTACTACTAACACCGAGCACTACTTTGAGTATTTTAGCACTCTTGCAGTAATAGTGTTCTTACAAACATTACATTGGCACATTTGGCAAAAATACCTTACTTGATACGAAAGCACTTATTTAGACTTACGTATATATATATATATATATATAT